TCGTGTGCCTTGCTAGGATGTTGTTTATGCCGGGTAGTTTGTGCTACATCTTGTGGGCATGTTCAAGTGAGTTCAATGTCAAACCTGATCTATAAAACTGCATAAGGAAAGGAGTAGGATACATTGGCTCAGGCTTGACCAACAGTTCACATGGTGTGCTGGGTTGACCCTGGCTGGATGTCAGGTGCCCACCAAAGCTGCTCTATCACTCTACCTCCTCAACTGGAGGGGAGAGAAAAGATAATGAAAAACATGGGTTGAGATAAGGGGTTGAGATAAGGACAGGGAGAGATCATTTACCAATTACTGTCACAGGTAAAACAGACTTGACTTGGGGAAAATAATTTATTACCAATCAAATTAGAGTAGGGTAATGAGAAATAAAACCAAATCTTAAAACATCTTCCCCCCACCCCTCCCTTCTTCCTGGGATTAACTTCACCCCTGAATTCTCTGCCGCTCCTTCCTTCACCGCCAGCAGGACAGGGGGATGGGGAATGGGGGTTGTGGTCAGTTCATCACACGTTGTCTCTGCTGCTCCTTCCTCCTCAGGGGGAGGACTCCTCATACTCTGCCGCTGCTCCAGTGTGGGGTCCCTCTCACAGGAGACAGTCCTCCACGAATGTCTTCAGCGTGAGTCCTTGCCATGGGCTGCAGTTCTTCATGAACTGCTCCAGCCTGGGTCCCCCCACGGGTGCCGTCCTTCAGGAACAGACGGCTCCAGCCTGGGTCCCCCATGGGGTCACAAGTCCTGCCAGAAAACCTGCTCCAGCCTGGGCTCCTCTCTCCATGGAGCCACAGGTTCTTCAAGGAGCCTGCTTCTGGCATGGGCTTCCCATGGGGTCATGGCCTCCTTCAGGCATCCCCCTGCTCTGGCGTGGAGCTCCATGGGCTGCAGGGGCACAGCCAGCCTCACCATGGGCTTCACCAAGGGCTGCAGGGGAATCTCTGCTCCAGCCCCTGGAGCACCTCCTCCCCTCCCCATTCACTGACTTGGGTGTCTGCAGAGCTGTTCCTCTCACATGTTCTCACTTCGGTCTTCTGGTGGCAGTTTTCAGTTCTTTTTTCCATCCTTTCTTAACTCTGTTCTCACAGAGGTGCTGCCATGGTTGCTGATGGGCTCGGCCTTGACCAGCAGTGGGTCCGTCTTGGAGACAGCTGGCATTGGCTGTGTTGGACACAGGGGAAGCTTCGAGCAGCTTCTCACAGAAGCCGCTCCTTTAGCCCATGTCTAAAAAAAACCTTGCCACACAAACCCAATACACACGGCTTCAGGCTTGGTCAGAAGGTCATGAGAGTCCAGGTGGAGTTTACCTACATTTGCCTTTTCAAAACGCAGCGTAGATAAACGGAGTCTGTATCCAGGCCCAGTCAAGTCTGGTTTCTTATGGTACTATTGAGCCTTGTGCTTATGGAGAGGGTATACAAAATCCCTTTTCTTGCCCTTCCTTTGTTGTCTTTAGTTATTTCTGAGGTGCTTAAGAGAATTTAATACATTTCAATCCTTTTATCTTCCCTGAGTACGCCTTTTTACTGCTTACCTAATTGCCTGAAAATATGGATTCCTTTTGTGCATCGTCACTGCCTGAAAGGGTGTGATGACTGCTGCTAAAATCCACAGGATTGTCACATACTGAGGGGGTATTTGTTCATGATACAAAGCTTCCAAAGGGTTCCCTTAAGTGAAGTTCATGGTGGTAGGGCCTGAGATTAATTTAGCTTGGCTTCTTGGATGAGGCTGAGTAAGCTGGTACCATTAGAATGATGGAAACTCACTGATGAGATCTCTACTGGGGAAATCTCTGCTAAAAATGTAGTGGGAAGGTGCTCAGAGCATACCGTCAAAAGGTTATGGCTCTGCAGTCCACCTCTCCTGTTGGCTGGCCTTTGTTGGTGTCATGGTTTAACCCCAGCCGGCAACTAAGCCTCACACAGCCGCTCGCTCACTCCCCTCTGCAGTAGGATGGGGAAAGAATCAGAAGAGTAAAAGTGAGAAAAGCTGTGGGTTGAGATAAAGATAGTTTAACAGGGAAAGCAAAAGCTGCACACGCAAGCAAAGCAAAACAAGGAATTCATTCACCACTTCCCATGGGCAGGCAGGTGTTCAGCCATCTCCAGCAAAGCAGGGCTCCATCATGCATCACAGTTACTTGGGAAGACAAATGCTGTAACTCCAAATATCCTCCCACTTCCTCCTTCTTCCCCCAGCTTTATATGCTGAGCATGATGTCATATGGTATGGAATATCCCTTTGGTCAGTTGGGGTCATCTGTCCCAGCTGTGTCCCCTCCCAACTTCACATGCACCCCCAGCCTACTCAGTGGTGGGGTGGTGTGTGGAGCAGAAAAGGCCTTGGCTCTGTGTAAGCCCTGCTCAGCAATAAGGAAAACATCCCTGTCTTATCAACACTGTTTTCAGCACAAATCCAAAACACAACCCCATACTAGCTACTATGAAGAAAATTAACTCTGTCCCAGCCAAAACCAGCAGAGTCAGGCATTCACACTGAGAGTATCTGTGAAGAGACAGTCTGCATGTGACTAAATGGATAAAGAAAATACTAGTATGCTCTTTTGTTTACATTAGCTGTCCCTTTGCCACTGTTTGAAGTTGGAATTGTCTCTTCTTTTTTTCTTATGAATGAAACTTTAATTTTGGCTTAGCTGTCCCTTAAAAAAAGTGGCTTGACATCAGTAGCTTCTGAAACAGTCCTGTTCAGTGTTACTCTGGCATTTCTTTTTGATGCAGGAGGCTGAAACTGCGCAAAAGATTACCAGGTTTTTGAAACTCTGCACTGTTCCCCAGAGATTATGTCCTTCCATTCTGCTTCTCACCTTCCTTTTTTCTGGATGGATGGCATTGTCCTATTTTACCCACTCTGAAGTTTTGTCACCCACTTTTGTTAGTAAAATGGTTAGGAAATAGGAGTTCAAAGTCTCTTATTGGGGCTATAGCCCTCATTTCAGGCTGTCGTAAGGGTAACAGGTCAGGGAAACAAATCTTGGCCATTTATGAGCATGACTAAACTAGCACCCATTACTCCAGCCTAGAGGATGTCATGTTTGTCTGGAGAGAATGAAGAGAGAGAGGAAGTGGTATAGTAAGTTTTAACTTGACTATTGATAGCACTGCAGTTCACATTGATCTGTACCTGCCTGAGAAGGTGGCAAAGCAGACTTTTTGAGCAGCTTCATGTATTTCCATTTCCCATCTTCGAAATTGTTAATCTAATTCTAGTCAATGTGATTTTCAGGAGAACTGCTCTGTTGAAGTCATTGGTCAAAGTGGATAATAACTTTCCGGAGTTGATGAGCAAGATGACTGCTTTGTTTCAGGATACATGCTATGCTTTGAGGTCTTCCCAATTCTGAGAAATTGGAAGGCTGTGAACTACTCCCATGAAGTCTTTTATTTTCTTTAGAGCTCTGATTGTCTGGGCATTGCATTACTGTGCTCCCTAGTCTGGCATGATAGTAGTTTTACAGCAAAAGCTTTCTATAATTATGCCATGCTGGAATCACGAATAAAAGTGCAAACAGCGTGCCAACTATTGACAGAATTGTTATGTACATCTCCTGGAAACTGAATGTTAGTTGGCTTAATTGTCTGTAAAAGCATCTTGTTTAAGTAGTATAATATTTTTATGGAAAAATGGCATGGCTTATAAGTGTGCTCCATCATAATTTTCTTTTTCTTATTAGATTGTGGAGGGAATGAAGAAGAATAAATGGAGTATTGAGAATATTGCTTTTGGATCTGGTGGAGCTTTGTTGCAGAAACTGACCAGAGATCTCTTAAACTGTTCCTTCAAATGTAGTTACGTGGTGACCAACGGTCTCGGGGTATGTCTTTGCACAACTTCTGCCATTATGTTTTCAAAAGAGGCCTCCCCACTTGAAAACCTGTTTGACATTTCCTGTTACATTACCATCGTGTCCATTAGGCACACAAGCCCCACAAAGCCCTTTCCTTTTAAAAAATACTCCTTTTCATTTTAGGTAAATGTCTTCAAGGATCCGGTTGCCGATCCAAACAAAAGGTCAAAGAAAGGACGACTGTCGTTGCATAGGACACCTGCTGGAGATTATGTGACGCTTGAAGAAGGCAAGGGAGATCTTGAAGAGTATGGACAGGTATGAATTTCCAACATGTAATACATCATTCTTCATGCAAAAATAGACTGAGAAAAAGCAGGTTATAACTTAATTTCAAAATCTATTTTTTATGCAATTGTTGTTATCAAAATCTTCCCAGGCACAGCAGAGTAAGGTGATAAGCAGTACAGCAAGCAGCGAAAGCAAAAAGTAACCACTAACGAGCACTAGACTGTGATATACGTAAGGAAAGCAAACCCATGGCAAGCACAGGGGCCTGGCAATTAATAGCTAAACAGCAATAACAGCTATAAATTCTATCTAGCACACTCCAGTCAAACCTGTCATTATCTCAAACCCTTTGTGCCACACAAAGGGTTTGAGGGCACAAAAAAGGACTGTCATGGTTTAGCCCCAGCCGACAACTAAGCCCCACGCAGCCGCTCGCTCACTCCCCCACAGTGAGACGGGGGAGAGAATTGGAAGAGTAAAAGGGAGGAAACTCATGGTTTGAGATAAAGACAGCTTAATAAGTAAAGCAAAAGCCGCGCACACAAGCAAAGCAAAACAAGGAATTCATTCGCTACTCCCCATGGGCAGGCAGGTGTTCAGCGATCTCCAGGGAAGCAGGGCTCCATCACACGTAATGGTTTCTTGGGAAGATAGATGCCATCACTCTGAATATCCCTCCACCCGTTCCTTCTTCCTCCCAGCTTTATATACTGAGCATGACATCGTATGGTAGGGAATATCCCTGTGGCCAGCCGGGGTCAGCTGTCCCGGCTGTGTCGCCTCCCAGCTCCCCGTGCACCCCCAGCCTGCTCGCTGGCAGCCCGGCATGAGGAGCTGGACTGTCTTTGACTGCTCAGCAACAACCCAAAACATCAGCACCTTATCAACATTTTCTCATTCCAAATCCAAAACATAGCCTCACGCTATCTTCTGTGAAGAAAATTAACTCTACCCTGGCTGAAACCAGGATAATATGTTTGTGATGAACATTCATATCTATATCTATATCTGTAGAGAGGGAGGGACCTAATGGTGAGAAATCTCTTCAAAACAAATCACCAGACTATGTCTCTGGAATTAGGGAATACATAGGTTCTTCATTTTTGGCATGTGAAATAATTCATTAAGAAATTTTCTGTCCTGGGCTATTAAAGAGGGTTATTTGTGTGGTACGGGTTCTGGCCCTCCCTAGGAAATGACAGGGGAATGTACCTTTTGTGGACCCATTTCCCTAAAGCCACAGGTCCTTGCAATAGGTCACCAGTCATAGTGACTGCTCAGCATTGCTTTTGTGCTAACATTTCTGTACCAAGCTGTGCTTATTGCTCTTTCAAAGTGTGCTGTTCGCAAGCACTTCTTGATACGCTATTTTACAAAATACATGTGCAAAGGGGACCGTGAAGAAAGATTTTAATTTCCACCACCCCCCCCACCCCCAGTTGCTTTAGAGGAAACAAAGTCTTCATTTAAATCGCTGTAATTGAATTGTATGTAATTGGTTGAGTGCTCTAGCAGGATATATTTAGAGTTAGTTGTTTTTGGCTTTGGCCAGATGTGGACAACTCACTTAGGGACTACTTGGCACAAAGCTGCTGTCTGTGCACAGGATGGCCCAAATCCTTTCTTCTGCCTAACCATTAGTGAAAGGTGTTAGAAGCAGCTGTAAAGATCTAGTATTTGACAGTCTAAAGCTCTAGTCTTACCAGGTTTGATCTGGGTGCTTGCTTTTGAGTTTGTGTAACCGGTGTTGTTTGTTCTTTTGCCAAATCACTCTTGCTAAAACAGTCGTGTTTCTTGCAGGATCTCCTTCATACAGTATTTAAGAATGGAAAGGTAACGAAGTCATATTCATTTGATGAAGTAAGACAAAATGCCAGACTGAAGAACAGTGAAATAGCAATGGTGTCTCACTAAGTTTCATTCCATGTCTGTGTATGTGTGTGTGTGTAGCAAGTACGTACTGCATAGCTACTGGGTTTATTGTACAGATTTGTGTGTTTGTGTTTTATGACATCGTAGCCAAATTATTTGTTGGTTTATGGACATACTGCCCTATCTTTTGCCAGTCTTTAGAAAAGATGAAATCAGGAAATGGTACTTAACATTGTAAAACATATTTAATGCTGAAGTGTGCTTTTTAGGGCCCTTTGCCAGTAGTGATTCAATCTGGTATTGATCTTTTCACAAATGAGACAGAGCTGAGAAACTTTTTTATATATAACAGAATATCACAAAATGGATTTACATAAAATTATCATGATTGCTTTATGTTTATATTTAACTTGTATTTTTGTACAAACAAGATTGTAAAATATATTTAAAGTTTCAATAATTAAGTCTTTCCAACTTTTCATGATTTTTATGAGCACAGACTTTCAAGAAAATACTTGGTGGGGGGGAAATCCATTGCCTTTTGTCCATTAATCAGCAAATAAAACATGGCCTTAAAGTTTATTGTGACATTGTACCATTTGACAACTAAATCAGGACTCATATCTCCTTAAGATCCCATAGAATTGCTGACCTCACCATTTCTTGTAGTTGTCTGTATTTAGTAAATCTTCATTAAAGAAAATTACTGTTCTTACTAGAAGGTTTGGGTACTACAGACCTTGCTGGCATGGTAAGGTATGTAAATGAAATGCCAAATTTGAAAGGATTCTCTACTGCAATTTAACTTGCCAAGTCTATCCCACTTGGTATATGCACCTCAATATTTTAAGAGTAAAGTTTTTAAGAGATCTCCTCTTCCACTATAGAATATATGTGTAAAATACTGAAATATGGAAGCGGTGTATTTTAAAGTAATTACACTTCTGGGTTTATTTTTCATATACTGTAAGTGACATGACTTTAAAGCAAAATACTGGACTGGGTAGTGCACTTTTTTACTTTTTTGTATTTTTTTCATTGATTTGCCTTTTGTCAGACTGGATGTTAAATTGTAAAAATGTTTAACTATTTTTGTTAACAACTTCAATAAAACTTTATGCTAGCCAAACTCCTACATGAATGGCAGACCTGTTTCCCCTTCTCGCCCCATCTCATTGGGGTGAGGAGGGGCTTTTATTTTGCAGAGGGTAACCGTAAAACAATACATTTGAGAGATACTTTTGAACTGTCTGCACTTGATTGTATTTGCTCTCTGCATATGCTTGATTTGAATATCTGCTGGAAAACAAAACTGTAGAGGATTTTATTTGAGAAGCTATGTAGTAACCTCTGAAATGTTTGATAGTACTGTGGGATGCCTCTCACTAGAAAAGTACCTCCCTTCCTTAAAAACAACAGCAAAAGCAAACGGCTCCTGTGTTATGCTGGTGATCAACTATCAGCCAATGGCTTAATATACTGATGTAATTAATGCTTCTGATTAGTAAATGATGTTACAGAAAAATGTTAGAGGTCCTCTAAAATAATTTAAGCCTACAGAATTTGATAAAACATGCTTTTAAAGGAAGATGGAAAAGCCATAATTCATTGTTCTTATTCTCTCACCAAAAAGGGCCACATCAAAGCACCCATAATATTTCCAGGGTTTGTGGTTAAAACGTTTATGCCCAGTCTTAATAGTCCTTGTTAATAAAAACTTGTTTTCCACTTGTAGTGTATGTAATTATACATTTAAGTGATGTATTGTTTCAAAAATAGTGCTTTAGTAAGACTCTAAATGCTGACCTTTCACACTGAGGAACCGCCTTCCCTTTGCTATTAATGATATTGTTTGTATTTGGCCAGGAAAGATTTTAAATCTGGACCTAGGATCAGTAGCAGGTAAATAGTACAGAGCCTATTTCACTCCTCCACGTGTGTACTAGGGAATATTATGATGTATGGTTTAAAAAACAGTAAAGTAAATGCTGCTTTCATTCTGTACCAATAAAAATTTTGATAACTATTGACTACCCATAACTGATATTTTTGTACTTGAGAACTGAGGATATACTGTGGAAGCACTGTTGTCTTGTGTACCATGAATTACATTAGTAATTGTTCAGTATTGTCTAAAACTTTTAGCTTACTCATTGGAGACTTGAAGCAAATTGTCTACTTGTGCATGTCACTTTCAGGAAGTTGGCACGTCACTCATTTTATTAAATGTTAATATCTTTAAAAAGAGGGGGGGAAAAAAAAAAAGAGAAAAACACCTGGTGCTATTCAGACCCGAATACATGTCTCTTTGTGTTTGGTAGTTTGACATTCTGGGCATCAAGGAGTTGACAGAAATTACTGCAGTGCTTGAACCATACAATATCCTAATTCTTCCACATGAAAGCAAACAGCATGTTTAAGTTTGCTTTAAATTACTAGATTTGTAGTCATTGATATATTTTAATTATCCCCATTTCATAATACAATACAGTATTTGTATTTAAAAATAGGAATTGGGAGATTTGTGTTTAATACTCTTCTTTGTAACCATATTTAGCATAAGAAATGGATTTTATAAGACTATTTTTTTTTCTTGAGCTGCATGATTATGAAAAAATGTTTTTTTGGTACTTTGAAAGATCTGAGGAGAGAACAGAAGAGTACTTTAACTGTTTGGTTTGCCAAAATCAAAACAAAGCTTAAACAGTTTTTTCTTATAGATTTTTACATTCCTTATTAACCTGTTTAGTGAAGAATAAATATTCCTCACTTAAATCCTCTGTTAAAGTAATTTTAATGTACTTGGCATCAAATACCGGTATGTAATACACATGGAAATAAAGTTTAGTTCTGGCAGTGAAAATAATAGCCATTTGACTGTGTCTTAAAGTTGTGGTGTTGGGCATCAGATGCTGAGCTCTATGTTGCCGAACACAGACCGGAGCACATTACAGTCCTCAGTAGGAGAGCTGCTCAGCTGGCTTGCATGCAGTTTGTGGTGACACGATTGAATTTACAGTCAGCTCAGTTCTACAGAAGAGAAAGGAAACTGGGCTCTTTTTTTTCTGTTTTTTTTGCGGGGTGGAGGGGCATGAGCACATCTGTACTTCAGCATCTTGCCTGTTTGTGCTTAAAAATGAAGCACTTGTAACTGAATTTGATGTAAGGAATTATCCTCTATTTATATTTCACAGAATCACTAGGTTGGAAAGGACCTTCAAGACCATCAAGTCCAACCATTAATCCAGTGGCACCATGTCCCATAAACCATGTCCTGAAGCGTCACAGTTTCACATAATCCTTTCTCAAATAAAGATTTGTTATTTAAGTTTTACCTCTAAAGCCGCTAAAAATTCATGTACAAAAGCAAATTAACCAAAGATCACAGAATCACAGAAACACTA